TCTATAAATTTATTTAACATAATTGTTTTCATTTGAGTGGTAAATTTTAAATTTATTATTAAATGAAAAAAAATTAAAGGTTAAAGTAAAGGTTTAACTAGGTTTAAGTAACTGAGCAATTTAGTTGGCTAGCACAGTATTAAATAAGCTGCTTTAAACCACAACATCTCCCATAATGCATATTGATTATATATGGGAATTCCCTGTCGGAAAGTGGGAGAGCTCAGAATTCAAGATGGCAACTACTCACCACAGCTCATCAGTGAATAAAATTCTTACTTTTACTTTTAATAGTATTTTTGAATTATTTATTTCTCATTCAGTCAGTCATAAATGTGGTGTTTATCAGTGTTTATAAGAGGATGTGTTAAAACACTGTTACCATACAGGAAGTACCACATGGAGCTCAGTTTTTTCTTGTTAGCAGTGCTAAATCATAGCAATGAGATGAGGAATGTGTTTAGTCGAAGTTATGAGGGCCACCATGACACTCATGAAGCCCTCAGTGAAAATGAGTTTGACACCCCTGCTCTACAGAATGGTGTCAAACTCAGTTACACAAAGGCCCACAATTCTGTTGGCCTGGCAGAATGCCTCAGGCGCTGTGGCACAGTGGTTAGGGGAGTCATCCTGGAACCGGAAGGTCGCCAGTTTGATCCCCCCATCCAGCTGTCTCAGTTGTGGTGTCCGTGGGCAAGACACTTTACCCCCAGTGCCTCTGATGTGTGTCCCATCAGTGTATGGATGTGATTGGCACTGATTAGTCTCCATAGATGATTGTACATGTTAGCTTTGTAGGAGATCTAGTAGAGTGCTGKGTGAATGGGTAAATGAGGACACAGACTGTAGTGTGAAGAGCTTTGAGTATCCTGGATGGATAGAAAAGCGCTATATACTGTAAGTACAGACCATTTACTTGGTCTAAAACCATGGGCCAATTCAGTCAATATTTATTTGAAGAAATGTTAACAACAAAATTATTCTTATAGAAACACAATTGTTTTACCATAAAAAAGGGTAAAAATGAAACCCCTGACTACAAACACAACTATTTGGAAAATAAAATTAGAACACAGAGATTACGTTGCCTTTTCCATACAAAAATTAAAGATTACTGAAAAATTCAAGCTTCTTTTTCTTGTCCTGAAAGCTGGACAGCTCTCTCAAATGATGTATTAAATTTAGGGCCRGATAAAATGGTAACAAGGACCAAAGTTTGCCCGCGGGCCTTTAGTTTGACACGTGCTCTACTCATAACTCTACTCATAACATTTTACCACCTATTAAATGGCTTCTTGTGTGAAGTGTTAAGTATTATAGAATAATATATCTTAAATATCTAAGTGTTAAGAAGTTTCAAGTAATGGTTTTTATGTTTATGAACCCTATGTGAGATAATTCAAGTGGAATTCACTCTTTAATATTAAAGCTAACTTATTGTGACAGTGATCCTGAACTACAGATATCATGTAGTTAAAGTGATCAGACATATACAGAGTAACTAAAACTACCAGAAAACCATCTGAAAATATCCAGCAGAAACCCAAATGTTTCACTTTATGACGTTTTGAAACCAAACTTTATCTGATCTTCTTTTATTTTTTTGGTTCTGACTTTTATCTGCGGCTCTTTGACCAGTTCAATGATCTCCTTCACAGCAGAGGAGCTTGCGGGGTGGATGGAGAGGTGGAGCAGAGGATGCAGGAGCAGCGGGAGGTGGTGGAGGGAGAGCTGAAGCCACCTTTACAAAAAGAACCAGCAGAAACCCGACATAGCTCAGGAGAAGAAGACAACCAGGAGGAAGAAGAGCTGAGCTTCACAAAAAAAGAGAAAGAAAACCTTYACTTCACTAGAGAGGAGACGGAGTGGAGGGGCAAGGAGGAAGAGGAGGAGGAAGAGCAAAACAAGGTGTGTATCGGATAATCTAATTTAAGCAGTATAATGTTAATTACGCTAAAATACATATCTTGAATTATTTTGTCCAACTTTGAATACATTTATAAATATGTAATCATATTTACACAGATATTAATGGAAATCTTCACATGAAAAATTGAAGCAGGAACAGGCTGAGACCAGCCTGGTTCACAGTTCCACTCCATTCTCGTTTCCCTTCTCTGCTCCATCTGGGAGTTCTCCCATAGACGAGGATTTCTCCAGTAGAGYTTTAACTGGGCCAAKCAGGGAACAGAAGGAGGAGTTTTGAACGATGACATTGAAGTTCTGCGCAGTGTCTGCTTGTAGTTTAGCAGTGACAGTGGAGGAAGTGAATGAAGTCAGTCTGTGTTGACAAGGCTTCCAACTTAAATTACATTTGTCTCACAAAGCCAGCTCTCATTTACAGACATCTCGTTTGGCTCAGTACTTCTTTTTTCCCAGTAGGGGATGGTTGTTTACAGTGAAGCAATCCTCCCACAGCTCGTATAAGTACATAAACTGAAATAAAAATGGCTGGATATTGTGTTTTTTACATTTTTGTCACTCAATGTATAGAGTCATGTTGAGTAACAAAGAGTCTGCAGAGGAAAAAAGTTTATTTATTAATTTTTTAAAACGTTAACGCTGATGGAAAAAAGATGTGAAAACCTGAAAATCAGCTGTGATCACATTCATCAGGATCAAACCAGCTGCTCTTGTAGCTCTTTTAACAACAGGCTTCAGACAGAAAAWTYTTTTTAAACAAAATAACYTGCAGAAGGCAGAACTGACTGAAKTTTCAGCTCCTCTGTGCTGCAGCAGCTGCGGTGTTCCTCATGAGCAAAAACACCCAGGAAGTAACCAATCACACACTCCGAGCAGCAAGGTCTGCATCTCATAATTCTGACTGGGGTCAGTGCACAAGATGGCTGACACTGGGGGATAGCAGCGAGAGAGCAGACGGAAATTGCGTAATTTTTTTCACTCAGCAGGGGGAACGAGATGTGTGACTTGAAGTATAAACCAGGCTTTAGCTCAGCCTCCTTCACGGTCGAGCTGGCGCACCTACGTCACGGCCAAACGTTAGCGATTGRGTAAATCAGATCCAATCATTTTAAACTTCAACAGAGCCCACGCCTCCAGCAAGAAATCATCTCTCAATAGCCGAGGGTCCAGACCCTCTGTTTGAAGCAAAGAGTAAATCAAGGGGCTGTTTTATACCAGGCTCGGCTGAGACCAAATCTTTATGTCAAACAGAGAGGATCTGAGGACAATGAAAAAGATATCATACATTTCTTACCATAAAATGCTAACTTCCCTCATGAAATGATCTATTTACATAACAAACTTTAATTAATTTATATAACCAAATTGTATTAATTGCCTGTGATCTACAGGCTTTAGCCCTGCATTACAAACATCTGATTCTTTTCTGAACATCACAGTTCTGCTGTCTGTAAACACAGTTCACTGTGTCATCCACAAATACTGATTAAAGCTACCTCATGTTAAGAAGAAGCCATTATGTGAACACTGTCCAGGAAGGCTGTCATCATCTTTGGACCAAAACTTAAAGTAAAATGGGCTGAGGCAAAATGGACAACTGTTTTATCAGACAAATGAAAATATGCAAATCTTTTGGAAAACATTCGTCATATTTATTCTCTGTACAAAAGAGAAGAGAAACCATCCCGCCTGTTATCAGCACACAGTTTAAAAGCCTGCCTCTCTAATGTTATAGAGGTGCAGTAATGCTTATGCACAGACGTGCATACAACATCATCAATATTTCAGATATTCTCCTTCTTTCAAGCCTGTTCAAAGAAAATATCAAATGTTTTCTACAACTTTTGGTCCTTTTATGATTATTTTTTATTCAATCACCGTTACGTTTGTTTTATTAGTGGTTTCATTTATTGACAAAATCAATTTCACCATAAATGTCTCCTCCTGGGAAAGATTTTGACAAACTTTACATTTTTTACCTTCAYAAATAATGTGTAAAAACTTTCCCAGCTCCTCAAAAACCTTTGAATGAAAAAACTGGAATCTGCCGTCGACATTCTCAGACAGCAACTCAGCTGCAGTCGACTGACACAAACCTTAACCTGCCCCCCCTTTCCTCTCCTGTTTTATAAAACACAATCAAGCCAGAGATAAAAAGTTACAGCTGACAGAGTCTGGCCTKAAATCTGAWCACAATAAAGCCAAAGAATGYTGTTTTGGCTCGCAGAGGGAAGAAATGAAATATAGTCTGACRACAGCAGCAGTGATGTCAGACGTAGCAACTAATCCCAGTTTTTAGAGCCAAAGTTTTGCCAATCATTCATGAGCTCTTTGTCACCAAACAGCACGGTGTGAAGAAAGGATACGAGCATGTTTCAGTGCTCATAAAGAAGAACAACTGTTTTCTTTTTCATTATATATCATCTTGCTGCAAAGCTCAATTCAAATGTTAGTGAATGTTAAAATGTTTTGGTGTTTTCTCAGAGATCAACAAAGGGYCAGRGGAGGAGGAGYGAAGAGGTGARCAGCAGGTCTTCAGGGTTTCTCGTTAGCACCAGTGAAGGCGAGGAGTCATTAAACTGCTACGGCCCCATGAGTCCAACATTCAAGGTAAAACCCGTAAAACCAACAGTGGTCTGCAGAAGCCCTATTTTTACTGGATCTTCTGTTTGGTTAAAGTCAGGAGAAACTGCTGTGATTATATGATGTGTTCAAACATCTTAAATATGYYGTCTTTTTTCTGCTCTTTCCTGGTCCTCCAGAAACTCCTCATACAGTTTTACCCAGTAAGTACAGATTTATTGATACTGCATGTCAATAKTCTGCTGTTTTAGCATCTTTTGTTCAGTAAATTTGTGTCTTTAAAACACTCACTGAGCAATAAGTTGACCTCATTTCAACTTTTCTTGATAATGACCTACAGTCAGGTCCAGCAATCATGGRACATCAACACAATTCTCATCTTTTTGGTTGTAAACACCACAATGGATTTTAAGCAAAACAAACAAAATGTGCTTTAACTGCAGGTGTTCAACTTTAATTTGAATGTATTTCCATGCAAATCAGGTCAACAGTGAACAAATGACAACAGTTTGTAGACGTGCCTTCCACTTTTTAGGAGACCAAAAGTCATGGGACAAATTAACAATCATAAATCAATCTTCCACTTTTTAATATTTGTAAATCCTTTGCGGTCAATTACAGCTTGAAGTCTGTAACGCAGAGACATCAGCAGACATTAGTTTTCATTTCTGGTGATGCTCTACCAGGCCTCTGCTGCTGTTGTCTTCACTTTCTGCTTGTTCRTTTTCCTTTTAGTTTTGTCTTCAGCAAGTGAAATGTGTGATCARTCAGATTCAGGTCAGGTGATTGACTCGGGCATTGCATAACAGTCAGCCTTGCAAAACTCTTTGGTTGCTCCGGCAGTATGCTGAGGATTATTGTCCATCGTCCAATTCTTCCTGCTGCTTCCGTCAGCATCACATCGTCATTAAATACAAGGAAGCAAGTTCACTCAGCAGCCATACATATTCATCCTCTTTCAAAGGCAGGGACCATGATGGAAGGTGCAGTTGGCCGATCCTGTGAATGTCCAAGTTGCTTTGGAGGAAAACTGACAAATTATTCCCATTTCTCTTCTAAAACCCTGCGACCCTACCTGAAAAAACAACTGTAGGAACAGAGTGTAAACAGATCTCGGAAATTGTCAATGAGGAATCCAMTGAGAAAAACATTTCATAGTTTTCAGACACCTTGTGCTGYGCTCCTACCTGCAGATGGACAAGCACATCTGCAAGAGAAAACTGTGTCAAATTTACTGACTCAGAGCCAAGCCCATCATTTCATTTCATCAATCCACCCAACATGTGTCTACTGAAAGTCTACTGCCATGTTTCATAAAATATAATATATATTTTTTGCTAGCAAACAGACTAAATGAACCAAAACAAACTATTTTATAAACAAGCTTTCTGTCTCTGTCATACTGTTTAAAGTCAGGGACAGATTCTGAGGTACAACGTACTTTCGAGACATTTTTGGAGAAATTTGTTTCTCAGCTCAATTATTTTTTATTTATTTATTTATTTATTTTTACAGGAGGAGGCAAATAGCCGGGTCTCAACAGACGGAAAATGTACGGTGAGTGCTGCTGTACAGATGGTCCAAATCAAAGGTCATTTTTTGTTTCTCCTATTTTCCCATGAAGACACATTAGTCTGAGCCAAGAGAACCGTCCAAGTCTTTCAGTATCTTCAGCTGAGGATTTGTTCGTCTTTAAGATGTCTGGAACTGGAAGTCTCTGCATTAAAACATATGGTTTTTCTGGCATAAAAAGTCATTGTTGTGAATGAATTTCCTTCTGTAAAGGATGTAACCATGGTTTTTATCATACAAACTAAAAAGTATTTTCTGCACACTTTAATATTATTTGAACTGTCAAAATGATGGTATTGCAAAATCCAAACAAAACAAAAAAAAAACCTTTGAACCAGATTATAATGTTTGTGGAAGTTTCACAATGTTAATGAAAAAAGAAAAATGCTAAAGTGTTATGATTTGCTTTGTGACTACTGTCTCAGAAGTAAATTGTTCTTTGTTTTGTCTGCCTTACTGTATGCTTTAGTTTAAGCAAAACAACATGAATCATTTTTATGTATAGTTATGCACATATTTACTTTTCAGAAAGTAACAGGAAATGAATACTTATTTAAGGCAATTTACTATTTACACTAAAAGAAACTGCCCAAAATTGTATGCTCCACCTGTTCACCAAGTTTCAAGAAATTCAGATTGATTTTTCTGTCATACACATGAAGATGTACAAACGTTACTGAACAGGTAACAAAGACTGTAATGTGTGATCTTGTTTTTTTTCCAGATAACTGAAAGAACAGAGTCTCTCAGGAGAAGGTGAGTCTGATTTTAAAATATAAACACAATAAGACGGTTTACATTTCACCAGCATTAATGCTGAGATTAAGACAGCAGGGACATGAGAGAACAGAAAAAACAAACCATCAAAATGAGAAACTGAACTTGAGCTCCTGCAATGTGTAAAATTACAAACTGACCTATTTATTTTTAATAAGTAATTTATTTTTGAACAACCTTAAACTCTATTAGTTTTTTATCTTAATGATTTATGCTTCCCTCTAAAGCAGCAGCAGCATAAAGAAGACGCAGCCTCCTGTTTCTGTTTCTAAGATTGACAAGAGGCTGGAACAATACACACATGCTCTTGAGGTAAAAAAAAATAAAACCTTGTTGTTTTTTATGGAATTATTGTATTACAATTATTAACACATTTCTTAAATCAAACTTGCATAATGAAAAGGCATGTTTTCATGAATGAATTACATTYTCTGAGGTCTTAAAGAAAAGCTTGTAGCATATATTATGAATGTTACGTTAACTGGTAACTAAATTGTCTCTATAAGTGAGAGAGTGAATGGCTTGTCTCGTTTGTGGCCCTGTGATGGACTTGCGTCCTGTCCAGGGTGTTCCCTGCCCCTTGCACAGTGACTGCTGGATATGGATATTGGACTCAGCAGCTGGTTGTGTTGTGGGTGTGTGCCTCTTCCAAGAACGCAACTCTGAAGTAACATTAAAATGTAAAATTGCAAATAATTATAGTTTCAATGATGATTTTAAAATAAAAAATGAAAATTATTTTATTTACTGGTACCTACATTTCTATGGGGCAACAAATATAAAATGTTCAAAAATGTCACCAACACATTTTCATTATTTAGCTCAATTTGTGTAAATTATCTTTAGCAGCATTAGAAGTGTTAGCAGAAGTTAGTGTCGGAAAACCAGGATGATGTCATTATCCTGCAACAAATAAACAATAGCCACCACTAACGAAAGCCATCATGTCTTATGGGAAAGCTTTAGCTGCATTGGAGCACTAGTGGTTGCTTTCCTCTCAGGATGATGATGTCATAACATCAGCTAAGAACCAAGAACCAATGGCTGCATTCCATTCCAAAATAAATGTAAACTTCAACATCTAACTTTAATATTTAAGGTTTAACTTTTACATTTAGATTTAAACATTTCGATTTAGTATTCAATATTTAAATATATATTTTAGCATTTAAATTGAACATTTAGTAAAACAATTAATTAAATGTAAGAGCAGAGAGATAAATAACAATAAAACGTTAGTGGAAATTTTTTAACACTCAAAATGTGAGCTAAATAATGAAAAATATGTTAGTGAAATTTAATTTCATCTCACACTTGGCGCCCCATACTGTATTTACTGGTAAGCTGGTAGAACAACACAATAAAACCACAACTGGAGGAGAGACACTGAATATAAACAGAATCTAATTAACTGAAATGTTGAACACCTGAGGGAAACAAGCAGAGGATTCCAGAGGAGCAGGAAGTGAAACAGTGATGAAC